CATAAACTGTCTCCAAAACTAATGCGACAACAACCTGTCTCAAAGCAAACGTGAGCCCTTACTACAACGGTAAGACTCTAACAATCCATCTTCGAATCCAGAGGTGACACTACAAGTAACACTAACAGTGCAGCGCTCTTACTATCCGTAACATCAATCAATCGACTTGATCCCAAAAGCGTCATCATGCAAGAACTCCTCAAGGAAAATGGTAACTATGGCCATACCAATAACAACCAAATCAATCACTATGACTGATCTCCAAAACAACCATCATCATCATCGATCAAAAGGACAACGCCTATCAAAACAAAACCAACATTGATTCTATCCGAACTGTACTTGTAGCTCGCCAGTACGGCAGCATGATAGTGCCATGCACCCGCCCACAAACGTACCCGCCCACGAAAAAAACGCAAGTTCCAAAGGAATCATTCTGAACAATCAAGGATCCTAAGAGATCCATAACCTCATCATGGCCCAAAGCCAACAAATCCAGCACTATAGCAACGCTAAATGACCCACCTCACGAGAGCCTAAACAAAAGGTGACCACCACCTACTTCAAAACTAATGCTAGGTCGATAACAACCTATACCACAACGAGACTGTGACTACAATCACCATCAACCTTAACTCGTGCCTCAATGACCAATCCCGTGTCATGCCAAATATACAACACAATTATGCATATACAATTCTAATCTAGCATACATCACATGTCATGCTTTTTACATTAGAATAAAACAATGCTAAACAAATGGCATACAACATGTAGCACGTAAGCACATAAACATGTTATTATAAAGCATATAAACACATAGAGCATGGTAACAAAAACATGATATGCACCCAAAACCCGTCATCTTAAGGTTTTCAAACCAAGGAGCTCTGATACCACTTGTGACGGCCTAAGATTTTCAACCCGGTGCATCAATGATGAACCGAAAGATAACCCGAAAACGGATCCGAAATGCCGAAGTAAAAGATAAAACAACGGTCTCTAAAGATACAACATGACTCTGAGACACCAATGTGACACTCAAGGAGGTCACAGAACCCAAAGGAAGTTGTCAATTCACAGAAAAGAGTCTCGGAAATCCTTCAGAACACTCAAGACGACACTAATAGATAAGAAACCAAACTCAGAAGGGAAAAGACAACGGAAAAAATTTATCCAAAAAAAATCCGGGTCATTACAAGGTCTTTAATAAATTAAATACATTATTTTAAAACCTCTCCATTAAATTTGCTTAAACATCACGACAAGCAATTTAATTTCTTCCAAGCTGCAAACCGCATGTGAATTTAATTTTAAATCCCATATTGATCAAGTTCCTAACATGAATTAATCATTCTTAGGTAAAATTAATCATTCTTGGGTATAATCCTACTTAATTACAACATTTAAATCCATCCAACCAAGTTTAAACAAACACTGGAGCCCTGAAATCTCAAAAAGGCCAAAGAAATACGCTTACAGTGTATTTGCAAAAGAGAAGCCGGCTCCAATTTTAGGTTAAGCCGGCTCCACCCACATTGGAGCCACCTCAACACTTTGTGGAGCCGGCTCCACTTCAATGGAGCCGCCTCCACTTCCCCAGCCTCCGTTTTTCCTTCTCTACTTCCTCTATGTTGCCTTCTTCGCTTCCGGCAAAGTCTCAGTCCTCTGTCCCACCTTTGTTAAAGATTTTTAAGGTTCAATTTAAGTCCTAACAAGCCTAGAAACGTCTCCAATTCTAGTATGAATTACTTATCAAAAGCTTAAACCATGATCGCATCAGTTTATGTTTTCTCCATTTGCCTTCTTCGCTTCCGGCGAAGTTCCATATTTCTGTCCGAATTGTTTTTAAACTTCTTAGGGTCCAATTGACATCCAATTAATCCTACAAACTCTTCCCATCCTAATATGAATTAACTTACAAAAATTAAAAAAACATACTTAACACAGTGCATGCAAGAAACCAATTCCAGTTATTAATTGTAAAACAAATTACAGTCCGTTAAAAACATGCATCAACCATCAGTTTTAAAAGTTGAATTTAATTCCTGGAGACTATAAATGATGCACAGAACACAAGTTTACAGGAAGGAGATAGAATGAAACTTGCAATAAGATTCCGGTTTGAAATCTTCACCGTCGTCTATGGAGTTTCAGACGAACGGACGACTACCGGCAACCTTCCTACTGCTCCAGTTCTATTCCACCATCAACCTTTTCCTTCCTCTGTGGCACACCTTCAGTCTATAGCTGAAAGCTCTCTATTTTTCCCCTCAAACCTCTCTATTTCTCTTTTCCCTAGTTTTCCTCTATTTTTCTTCTCAAGATACTATGTCGTAAATAGGGTTTGTAACCTAGTAGACCATACTGTCTTATATATATATAGGTTCCTTCTAAACCCTAATCCTAATCCCAGCCCATTAATACATCGGCTACCCTATTATACATAAATTAAACCCTAAACTTACATACAACACACATAAATTATATAAGCTACCAAAAATTACACATCAATTAAGTCACGAATAATTAAATAATAAAAAAAAATAATTACAATTAATTTAAACAACACCATTACCAATTAAGCAAATAAAACAATTAAACACATAACCAGATAAACATATTTAAATGCACACAAATCAAATAATCAATTAATCAATTAAAATGCATATAAAATAAATAAATAAATTTCAGTTATATCCTTTTGAGAATTAGGGGTATTACACAATACAACAAGTTTTTAAGTGCAGTTAGAGAAATACCCGTGGGGATTAAAGTTGGTAATAGATTTTTAAACTTTGATTGTATTGAAATTTGGTACAGAAAATTAGAAGAAGAGCATTTCTTGTGAATCAGGAGAACGTACGCGATTGATACTCATTCCAAAAATGCAAACCCAACTTATTGACATTAGTAACCCAAGTTTTTTTAAAAAAGGGTAAATTATAGAGACACCCCCTGAGGTTAGGTCATTTTTCAGCAAGATGAAGATTTTGGTTTTAACTTTCACTTACACCCCAAATTACTTTTTGGACTCTGACACATGCGAAATGACTCATTTACCCCCATTTGTTTAAATATAATTTAATATAAAATATCTATAACATTAATTTCCAAAAATACTCTTACAACAAAACCTACCAAATCATACTATTTTCCTCTTCTCTCTCAATCAAAAGTCATCTGCCAAATCCATTACACAGTAATAAAACCGTCATCGATTCCGGCTATTACAGTGCCACCTTAAAACCGCCACCATCATCCCTATGGCAAGTGAAAAAATTCATAAATAAGTTCCTAATCTAATGTATAACACCATGTACACAAGGTGGGATATGGGGTTATATGGTTGTTGACTAGAGGTGGCGGTAGCGGGGCGAGGTAGAGAGGGGGTTGTAGTCGAAGACTGAGCAGGTGGCGCCGGATACTAGCGTTGATAGCGAGGATCTAGGCCATGGTGAGGACCGTGGCGGTACCGGCTTGGAGCTCCGTCGTGAGGGTGGTGTTCCGTCGGCCATTGCGCGTCACCTTAACGCATCACTGTTTCAGCAAGAATCACCATCGGAGTCGCAGCAGACAAAAGTACACCATCACCAACGGCTTCTTCTCTTAGACCATGGTGGAGTGCAGATCTACTTACACCAATATTAAGGGCGCGTTACGTTCACGCGTCGCCGGTGGAGCTGCAAATTATGGTCTCGCTCTGGTTAGATCCTGAAGTGCCAGCACTTTCTCTATCTCATATTGCCAACGTAATTGTGGTTTCTCACAGTGCCGCCACCACCGTAAACCTCCATAAGCCGTCGCCGCTTCAACCACCGTTCCGAGAGATAAAACAGAGAGGATCAGGAGTTTTAATTGGTATCGAAATCTCACCGCAGTACCAGTGGCCAAACTCAGCTTGGGTAGGAACAATGAAGGCGTTGAAACAAATTGGACAACAGTTGTCGGAAGGAGGAGTGTTGGAGTCTCTGTAACTAGGATAGGGTTTGGATCGGAACTTCTCATTCTCTCACCTCATTGTTTCTCTCAGTAGATCGTCCCTCCAGCCCACTCAATTCATCCACCACCTCGCTCTTTCTCTCTTTAAAAATGAATTTTTTTTAAACAAGAACAAGAAAGAAATAAAGGATCTGATAAACCCATCACAATTTTAGTTTGGCACCCCTGACTGTTTTGTATGTGTGTGTATATATATCTATATACATATATGTGTGTAATTCTGTATATATATATATATATATATATATATATATATATATATATGTTTGGCTGTTTTCTATATCTGTATAGATATATATGCATGGAGTTGGGTTTTGTGCGGTGGTGGTGGTGGCGAATACGGTGATTGGGGATGATGATGGTATGATGAGGAAGAGGAATAGGAAGAGTAAGAGGAAATTGTATGTGGGGTAGTTTGGTCACAAAAATAGTCAACGGAAGGTCAAAGGGTAACATAGTCATTTAACACCTCAAAGTACTACAGCCCTACCAAAAATTGACATTTGGGGTCTAAGTGAAATGTTAAATCACTACTTCAAATATAAGTGAAATCTAAAACCAAAATGTTAATCTAGCTGTAAAATGACCTAACCTCAAAGGTTTGAGTGTAATTTACCCTAAAAAAAAAATTGTAAATGTTAAGCATCATAAGTGAATTTATTGTCACTTAAAATCTTACATTATTTTAACTTTTAATTACAGTATATTTTTAAGTAGCACTAAAAATATATTATCAAACACATTTAATCAATTAAAAAAATAAGTACTAAAATTGTGTTATCAAACAACACCTAAAAAGAGAATTTATATATACTGAAGATACCTAGGCCCACACATGTTACAAGCATATGGTTTTATTGTACAAGAAATACGTTATTTAGTTATTTTACATGATCCAACACACTTACATATATGTTACACAAAATAAGGTGGAAGCTATATATACATATATATATATATATATATATATATATATATATGAGTTTGTGATGATTGAATTAAAATCCCTTCAATATCTTAGCAGTCTCAAAAATGAAGTTGCCTTCCTTGAATCGTTGCCTCGCATCATAACTGTAACGACCCACTCCACCACATGGTATGATATTGTCCGCTTTGAGCCTGAGCCCGCACGGTTTTACTCTTGGGCTTCACCCCAAAATGCCTCATACTAATTGGAGATGATGCACTTTCATATAAGCACTTCACCTTTCCTCTACCCAGGCGATGTGGGACTTGTGCACCCGTAGCTCGCCAGTGTGGTAGCCTGACAGTGTCTCTTGCACCCGCCTACGGCACACCCGCCCACAGGGTCATCACAATCCATCCCCCTTGGAGGCCCGACGTCCTCGTCGGCACACTTTCGGCTGGGTCAGGCTCTAATACCAAATTGTCACACCCCAAATTTTAACACAAAGACTCTTTGTCTTTTATTTTATAATGGATGTATGTTGAGAATTAGTGGAAGTTATACATCAGATTTTACATACAAGACAAAGAGTCTTTGTGTTAAAATTTGGGGTGTGACAATAACTATAAGCTCGAACGTATTTCCAACCCAACAACTCACCACAATTGCTACAGAAAATATCCGCAACACTAAAAACACAAGTCATCAGCTGTTTGTCTTCTTTGTGTCCCACAACAATGTTCATCGCATGAGAGAACATATAGGCTTGTCCAGATTTTGCCTGATCATCAAAAACCAATGTAACATGGAGGAGCTTGGAGTTAACAAAAACTACACCACAACCACACACATTTTGATATATATATATATATATATATATACATGCATGTGTGCATATATGTTTATATCCAATGAGTATGCATAGTGAGCAAGGTATACCACGTCATTAGTTCGTCCAACTAATGAAAATTTGACAAATGAGTTTATGCAGAGTAGTTTTTTTTTCAAGTGTTGAGACCTGTAACAATTAATGACATAGTATGCCGAGCTCACCAAATATATTCTCCAATCCAAGATGCTCTCATTGAGCTACCATCAAGGGTTGCAGCACAATATTGTCAATACAATCTCACAAAATGAAAGAGGGAGCGCTCAACTTTCAAAATAAATGTAATTTACACTACAAAATGGGGCAATGTGCAAGCAAAATCCTTGGTGGTTAAGGGTCCTTATCCACTAAAGAATTAGTGCAATGGGGGTACATAGATGTTAAATTTTTATAATTCATGTTTTATATATATATATTTCTTAGACAAACTAATACTCCAGATTTACAAGAATATCTCTAGGTATAAACTTGTCGGATTACTTTTTAGCCTGAAAAAGAGAAACTTTTCAAACTCGCATAGTTGCTTGAGGATTTTCAAGGGGGGAGTCGTAAACTCGGACGACGATGATTAGAAGGGTTTTGGTGTCCATAAACTAATAATTATAAAAAAAATAAAAACTTTCAGAAACCGACCGAATTGACTAGAGCCGAGTAGAGAGAAGCCCTATCTCGACTCCGGATAAGGATCTTCTCCATTCCTGGAGAGGGTCTGCACACCCACCAACCATTCATATGGCATCATTATTAGTGGGAGAATCCAATCCAATGGTTAATGGATGTGCAGGACCTCTTCTTTCCTAGACAGATCCTTGTCCCCCGACTCCACCGTGTTAGTCTTTGTTTGGCTAAGGGGAAAGAGCCAATTCGGTGACCTTGACTTTACAAGACAGTCTTGCAACTCTCATTCTATAATGGATCAAATTACTTCATTTCCACAAAAAGTCCTTGTTACTAAAATCAACTCAATTAATGGACTGATGATTAGTATAACATGAACTAATTATTTATTGAATCAACAAACCCCAAGTTTCAACTAATGCATCAGGCTATCAGATCACACACGTATGTAGTGTGTGTGTGTGTGTGTATGTAGAGGGAGAGATCTAGAGGATCAGAAATGTTTAATCACCCGAAATTTTTTAGAAATAAGGTCGTCATGGAGGGCAACCGGATTCCGGCAACTGTTGCAGCTATAAGTGGGATGACCGGTGAATTTTTTTTCCGCCATGAACTGAAAGTTTAGTACCACGTACATGCAAAAAATGAAATAGAAATAAGTTAAAAGGAAACAAATTTGGAGGAAAAAATAGAAATTACAAGAAGTTAATTAAACTCTCTCACCTCTGACTGTAAAGGATTATCCATGGAATGGAAGATATGAGGAGATGACCAGAGGACAAACTAGGTAAGATATATAAGGTAATATTGGTGGAATTGACTTGTTTAATTTACGTGATAGACAAGATAATATTGGAATTGTTTAGCCAATGTTGCTGATAAAGACAAGGTTTTTTGGTGGGACCTACTGTCCTATTTGGGACTAGAAAAAGCTACTCATATAATTGAGCTTTTATTATGTCACTCCAATCACAGACAGAGGAGTTGTGTTTTTTATTTTATTTTTTTATTTTTTATTTTTGGACCTCTTATCACAAGGCCTTGGTCAGAGAAATGGTTGTTAACTTGCCTTTAGAGAAAATAAAATATATTTAATTATATAATGCTTGGAAATAGTGAATACTTAAAAATTGAATTTAAAGGAAGTGATTATTGATAAAGGAAATAAAATTTAATTATATTGTGTTTGGGAGTATTAAATTAATTTTTTAAAATTAGAATTTTAAAAAATTTAATTGAGGCTTACAAATATAAATTTTATTAACATTACATTTAAAATAAATTACACATTCAATTTTAAAAAATTTAATTGAGGCTTACAAATATAAATTTTACTAACGCTACATTTAAAATAAATTACACATTCGGTGAAATTTTCGGTCCTTTTTTTAGACTTGTCAAAAATGATAATTTATTTAACAAAAATAACAATTTTTTGTGATATCGTAAAACAGATAATCAACAAAGATACTTTTTTTTTAGGGTCTTTTTTTAAAAATTTTATTTATAACTTTTGTTTTGAGAGGAAGAGATCAACCATATCCATATGTAGAAAGGTAGTTGTGTAATTTGAAAAAAAAGAATAACTATTTTTAAAATGTTACAAATTTTTTCTTTTTTAAATGAGAGTGCAAATGTATATTAAAAAATATTAAAAAGCGCAAAATTAGTGATTTCTTTTGTCTTGGGCTAATCGAGATTGTAACCATGTTGCTCACCATCTAGCGAAGATGGCTCAGTTGTAAGCAAGGTGATGGTGATTGGAATGTGTTACATGGCTGCTCAATGTCATTGCTGTTGACCTTCATTCAGTTTCTCTATAAATGTTCTTCCTCTGTTTGTTAAATAATAAAAAAATAATAAATAAAAAAAGAGAGGAAAAAAAAAATTTATTGTGAAAGTTTGCACAAAATTGTCTCAAGCTTCAAGCCACATGTTTCAGAAATTGGAAATTTGGAAGTGGATATAGAGCCAGTTTGGAATTGAATGTTAAAAGCGCTTTTAATAATAGAGCTGTTGTAAAAGTGTTGTCAGTAAAACGCAGTTAAACGTTTGATGACACATTGTATAAAGCACTTTTTATACTTGAAGCACTTTTAAAATTGTTTGGTAATAATATTACTTAAAGCACTTTTTTTATTAATTTTATTATATTACCCTTACATTAAACATATGATAATTCCCTAATATTAAATATTATAAAATTTCATTGAGTTTAATGATTTATAAAGATGAACTTGTATTTTTTTTTATTTTTAAATATCACATATTTTGTTTATGATATCGAACTTGTATTGAGCACTAAAATATAAATGAGTTAAACATATTTTAATGATGATTATTTTGTATCTGATTTTGGATTCTTCAGTAATAAAATAAGCAAATTTGCTCATATGCTATCTAATAATGAAATCTAATAATATATTGTTTTCCAATATAGATAACATTTTATAAAATAAGACTAAACACTTTAACCACAATTAATAATCTTATTACTTTTCATTTAAGATAATAGCATAAATGTATTATGGTTATTTTAAAAACAAATTACAAGTCATAATTTATTAAAAATTAAACATCTAACAATTATACAATTAACAAGTTAAACGGTCACGATAACCCCCATCTCATTGTCATCGCCAGTGTACCTTTCATGTGGGTGTTCATCATTGTCATTCCCTTCTTCATCAGGCACTAAATCCAAATTATCATCATATCTTTGAAATTCCTCATCAATAATAGCTGTTCGCCGTGTAAAATTATGAATCGTCATGAATGCAATAACAATTGCAACTTGTTTTGAAAAACTAAAACTAGGCATTCATGATAGAATTCGCCATTTTGCTTTCTAAACACCAAAGGTTCTTTCATTCTCAAATATGAAAGAACTTATGAGGGCTCCTTGGATGACTTCCACGACGAAATATGAGTGAGCATGATTGAAGAACTTATGAGGGCCCCTTGGCTGACTTCCACGACGAAATTCTGCAAAATGGTATCCCTCTCCCTTGTAAGGCGCTAAATATCCTTTCATATTAGGATATCTGTGACAGCCCAAGTTTTTCAACCCGGTGCGTCAATGATGAACCGAAAGATGACCCGATAACGGATCCGAAATGCAGAAGCAAAAGTCAAAACAACAGTTTCTAGAGATACAACATGGCTCTAAGACACCATTATGACCCTCAACGAGGTCACGGAACCCAAAGGAATCAAATATGAAAGCAACGTTTTCAAAAAAGAACAAGAATGAACCTAGGGGCAAAAACGTCATTTCTATCTTAAAGTGGGTGCCACCGAGCACACCATTGGAAAGACGACAAAAAATTAATAAATTTAGACTCAAAAATCACTTGATTCGTAGTACGGATGAAGAAGATATGGCTAACGAAAGAAAAAGGGGTAAAACGGTCAAAAAGTCAACCCAAGACCATCTAACCGGTTAGAAAGCAAAAAAAATAGTGACCAACTCACTACCCATGCTCATCTAAACGGTTACAAGATTTACCACCCGTACACTTGACCAGTACATTTATACTACAACTCAGCAAAAACATGGCAGCAGGAGTTTTTTCAGAAAAAATGGGATTTTGAAGCCCTAGATGACATTTTCTGGAAAAACACAAAGAAGATACCCCCCTCAAAATTGAGTTTTCTACTAAACTTGAGAAAAAAAATTGAAAAATACTCACTGTAAAATGCCCAAAATACCCTCCAAAGAAATCTGGTCCAGAGGGTCGAAAAAACTGCTAAATGGAAAACAAAAGGCTGAACTTTGCGATCGATTTCCGATACCAAGATGGCATTTTCTGAAAAAACACAAAGAAGAAACCCCCCCTAAAATCACATTTTCTAAGTGACTATGTGGAGAACAGAAATTATTTCCAAAAGAAAATTCTCAAAATGCCCTTAAGCAAAATTATGTAACAAAAGTGTAAAATGAGTCTGTAGGAGGCTCATTTCACCAAAGAAGAAGCTTTGCCCGGAAACGACCATGCACGCAAACTTAACTTACCTAATAAGATGTGCTACAATGGTCCATGGCTTAAAAATATGGCCAATACAAAATATGACCCCCCAACAGCCAAAATGCCAAAATCGAAGTTTGGAATGAAAACTTGGAATTCAAAATCATGAAATGGTTTCAAAATGCCGTTTGGCCCTTGGCCACACTTCATACATGATGAATGAATGCTAATGGACAAATTTTTATATACAATGCACACTCCGGCGCAAAATAGCATACTAAAACGCATGAATTTCATATAATCTCATTAAAGGCAAAAATCAACATCCATGACATAAATGTGATTCTAAAAGAAGTTTGACCCTTGGCCTCATGTCATATACATAAAATGAGAATCAAAAGTGTGCTTAGGCACACATTACAAGTTTAGAATCAAATATGCACATTTGACAAATAAGATTACAATTGGCATTCCGAGCCAACCTTCACAAAAATGGAAGTCTTCAAGTCCACATGTCATCCAAGCATAATGGGAGTCTCAACTTTAATTCTAGTACCTGAAATATGCCCCAATATCGTAGAGGTGAGTAACATAAAGCTACTCGTAGGAAATGAGCATGCATCGACCTACGTTTTATAAGTTTGCATGATTTAATTATTGCGGTTCATTCCACCTAACGTCTATGTCAAAGGTGAGACTCAAGGAGCATCCTAGCTACCTAAGATCTTTTCTAGCATCAATCACCTCATTCATGCAATTTTAGCAACATAGGATCATGCTTACACAAAGCAACAACTTAGGAGCATGCGTACACAAAGCAACAACATAGTAGCATGCTTACACAAAGCAACAACATATAGATTCTTAAGGTTATCAACTTGAAGTCTAAAATGCAACATCAACTAAATATAACAATTTAGCATAATTAGAATATCTAATACCACACATTAAGACATAGATTCTCTAGGTTATTAACTAGAAATCTAAAAGTGTGAAATCAACTAAATATAGCAATTTAGTATGGATGTACTTAACAACATCAAAATCGCCAATAGCTAAAACCACAAGTCAACAAGGTAAACATGATTGTCAACTTGGAATTGAATGCGAAAACAAATAGTGGAAAACTTGGACATCACGTCTCGGATTTCCGCCGAGAACAAAATGGTTGTTCCGGGCACTAACCCGCAGTGAAAACCACCCTAAGTGCACACTATCTCAATTGATGAGAACTCATACCTCCCGCACTAAAGCCGAACTTTAGCCATATCACATATAACAACAATGTCCCAAGACTCCAAAATAAACCAAATAAGTTCATAACTTATCCATATTACTACTACATAGTAACAAGTTAGCAACATAACTCTCAATTGTGCATAATAAGCATTTCATATCCATAATGCTATGAAATCACAAGCCAACAATATATTTATATTAGAAACATACTCTCATGAATATAAATTTAACAACAATGATTTTCAATGCATGTAACACAATCAAGTGAATACATCACAAGCCTAAATCCATACTCTTAAAATAGAAACAACTTCTAAAATATGATTAGATCCACGGATAAACAAGATAGAATTTAATTATATCAAAATAATAAAACTCTTTATATTTCAAATCATTTCCAAATGGCCTCAATTTAATATATGATAGAAGACATATCATGGTCATTACATATATTCACACAAAAGCTTAATTAGGCCTATGAAACCACAAAATAGATTTTAATTAATTCTCTTAATTAAAGCCTCTAGATTTTCAAACTCAACCAAATGCTCTCAAATTAAAGTATGTTAACAAACATGCCAAAATTTAATTTAGAAGCATAATACAACTCAATTTCATGTAAGGTACGGCCATGAACTTTAATCTTTCACAAAAGATAAATATTAAATAAAAAGTACAATTCTTATTTAATTAATCCAAATTTAATATATGTTAACCAACACATTAAAACAAGATTTTCTAACATGCCACAATTCAAATTCAAGTTACACATCATCATGAATTTTAAATCTTATACAAAGAAATAAAAATTACTAACTTTCTAGATTTGATACAAGGCATACATATATGTTATATAATCATGAAAAACACACAATACAACACACAAATAATCCTAAAACATTCCATACCTCCATTTGAGATGAAATCTCAAATCCCCACC